CCCCGATGGAAGCAACTCGGAAAAAATTTGACTAACGTACGAAAATTCCTAGATCCGCCCCTGACGTGAATTGTGAAACACAAGCCAAAAATTGAACGTTTACCTAAGGGTATAATACAAGCTACCGTGGACCGCTTGCGCCAACTTAAAATCCCCTTCAATCTCGATCCCAGACTGCTGCCAGAGCTCGGCCCATGCCTCCGTGTGCGCAGCTAACAGACCACCAGCCTTTGCGAGCATCAGAGCTTCCTTGTGACAACTAAACGCACTTTCCAAGTTACCGACCGTATTCAAGGTTGAAACAATGGCAGTCACAAAATAGAATGTTTGATTGGTTTTTGGCTGAATGACTAATAACTCGGGCACTTTGCTCCAAACTACAGCAACGCCGACTCTTTCGCTATTCGCTTCCTCGGTCGTGCTAATAAAACCATATTTTGCTTCCAGATCCGAGCTGCCAGGGGGAAGTTCACTTTTAGGAACCTCAGTAAAGTCTAAATCTTCGCTCTTGTTGCCATGCGTTTTAGACAAGCCAACCTTTAATGGTTTATCTTGCGAATTTTGTACCCTAATTTCAACCACAAGTAGATTCGGTAGTTTCCTATGTGTGTATATTAATTCTTCCACAATAAATCCACTTCCTTCAACGCGATGGGTAAATACACCTTTCTGGACATCTAAAGAGTACATAGTACTCGTTGTGACATCCTTGTCTACAAGAGACATGCGTATTGCAGCGGTCGAAGGCACCCTTGCTCTGTGACTAGGTTCGCGGCGACGACCATTGTAAACTCCGCTAACAAATACAGAATCACTAAAAACACTTGTTGCCAAGAACCCATTGCCAATTGTAGCCATAAGCCGCTCGTCCGTAGGCAAAGTGTCGCTTGTGAATACTGTCGAAGACATGTTGTTGCTCGGATCACACAACTGGAGTTTGGATAGGTGGTAAATCGAGTTAAAACTCGCATACAGTGTGAATGTGGACAACAAAAGAGCCACTGATTTCACGAGTGCTGCTGTTAAAGTAGGCATGACTGATATTTGACACTCTTAATTGTTAATTGTCGTTAAATATTGATTTGGGAAATACGAATAAGTGCATTTTTTGATACATTTTTTATACATTTCAATTTGCTCATCGGAGTGCTAAAACACAATTGTTGGGCAGGACTTGCCCCCCCCCCCCCGTCTATATGCTAAAAGTCAAAAGTGGCCGTTTGCAATAATTGAATAATATAGACCCCGTTTACACGGTACCGGACGAATTTGCGACCGGTCTGAAATTCGGCCGTTTCGGCCGTGTAAACACACGAGAACCACGGAACCGGACGAATTTGAGACCCCCTAACAGGACGAATTCGCGTATAAACAAGCGAAAAAGGACGAATTTCAGACCGGTCCCAAATTCGTCCTCTGCCGTGTAAACGAGATCATAGTTGCGATACTTTGAAACCCCCCAACTTCAGTAGCAGAAAATTGACCAGTTTCAGAAAATTGGTCGGCATGAGTATTTAAACTTCCTGTCAACTTCAAAATCGCAATGGAGCAACGTTTCTCCCCCAGGCTATTTTTGTATTTTTCCATCTTTACTGACTGCATTTCCGACCTTTGGATACACAGCGTTGCATATTATACTCTCGGCAGACTGAAAGTTCAGTTTAAGTACTTGCATGGTGTGTTTATGCAAATACCAGTACCACAACTCGGTCATTAACTTGTTTAGCCTAGGCTTCCAACAACTCAAGTCCATAGGTCTGGGATATGCTATGATTGCTATCCACTGGGAAATTTTTAAAATCTATAGGTATTTCAGTATAAATGTTTAATTCGGAATATTGAATCATTCATGATATAAAAAACATGACATAAGATTTACAAAGGAAATTTCAGTTAGAATATCAAACCTCACCTCTTCTGCAATGTTTTGCTTATATTTCAGAGAAAAGGGACTTTAACGGGGGGGGGGGGATATTATTGACTCGTGTGTGGAGCACAAAGGGGGACTGGGCCCTAGGGGAGAAATGCCCCGCCCCCAGCGGCTATGATGAAAAGAATTAACATTTTTTTGTCACTCTGAATACCAGATGGCAACCATTAGAGCAACCATCTGCTGCACGATATAGTTCCGTTATAAATGAAAGTGAAATTTACTTACCGGAAAAAATAATAAAAGTGTCATTTTATTATTCAATTATCAAAAACATACAGTTAAAGTCTTCGCAGACTTTCACTTTAGCATTCCGCAGCGCCAGTTTAGTACAAAAATTCCATGCACTTCCAGAGATGCACTTCATAAAAATGACGCTTACAAGCCTTTTGAGGATACATTTTCATGTCATGATCACGTAGTCACGAAATATAAGTGGTTAGGAGGTAGGGTTAGGGATAAGGATTGGATTAGGTCAACCTCGTACCCAGGGCTAGCCGCGAATTCAAGGCGGCGGCGTAGAAATCGGGCGGGCAGGTACTGGGTACGAGGTTGGGATTCAACCTCGTTCCCAGGCTCTTTGCTCTTGTGAGAGCAAAGTGCCTGGGAACGAGGTTGGTTGGGATTAGGTTTAGATAATCCGTTTTGGGCACGGGAGAGTGAGTCGATTAACCTGCTGATCATATAGAGGGCGGCAAAATTACTCAAATATGATTGGCTAATGAAGAGGGCATTTTTTCTTAATTCAGAGCAAAATTATATAAAAGCTATAAAAACAATGGCTTAATTATCGCTTTGTTGCGGATAATAGTGCGTTAATATGTTATGGGAGACATTAGAGAGTTTTAGCTTGACGTTTACGGCAAACGTCACGGCGCTAACGAAGTTTTTGATTTCATACAACTCTATTTCTCACCAGTTTTGAATGATATAAAACCTAATTAACTTGTGCTCTTTAACAATGATTTAAGAGAGCAAATCAACCACTAGTCACGTATTCACCAAAGCAGTAAATTAAGATCTGGCGTTTGAAGTTGACGTTTGGCGTATAAATTTTATGCTTAACTGCTACGAGGATTTGCTTTCTTAAATCATTGCCAAAGAGCACGAGTTCAATAATTGTTTAATATATTTCAAAACTGGTGTTTACACCAGCTTTTAAGCTGTTATAATAGAATTGTAAAATCAAAAACGTCGTTAGTGGTTTGACGTTTGCCGTAAAACGTCAAGCTAAATGTCTCTAATTGAAGAATTAAAAACGTCTAGTGAAAACTCGAATACTAGAAAAAGCACAATTTTATGGGTTGGAGTATTTAAGAAATAGGCAGCATTAAGGAACATCGGCAAGACGGCAATTAGACATAGACTGAAATACGAGGTTCAAGATCTTGACAAGTTCACAATTAACTTGCGAATAAATTTTGCCCTCTATGATTAACAAGTAATCGCACAGTTCCTCGTAAAATTAAGATTTAATTTCACTTGTGTTTTCAAAGTTTCACAAATTGTGAAAAACACGCTTGAAATTTAACCTTAATTTTACTCGGCTCCATGCGATTACCTATACAAATCAAGTACCGTCTGCCGAATTAAAAACACCCTAGGTCCAGCGTGCTGCGAACCTAATCCTGTGCCTAAACTCTAAAGTTAAATTTTAAAGCATTCCCGTAAATCATTACGCGGAGTTCAATTTTCGAAGCGGAAGAAAGTCAGTTGTGTGGTCTGAATAGAACGACATACTACTTCATTTGCCCGTATTTTTGACTGACAAAATACATCTCAACTGATGGATCATGGGTGATAAACTATAAACCCAAACAGCAACTTGGGAATATCTTATTACTAAAGATTAACTATCAAAGATCCCCAAAGGACAAAGACTCATTGAGATCCTCTAGGCTTACTGAAGAGACTTTAATGCCACTACGACAACATGCTCTGAGAGTGGCAAAATAGTGTTCATTAAACGTTTTAAAACTAAAGCAATCAGTATTTATTCAGCTTTTGGTGCCAGGATTGTTAATTTAACTTTCTGTTGACTTCCGGCCGCGCATCATTGGACAAAAGTAACATCAGGCCATATCAGAACATGTGGGTCCATGTTGTCATCCATTATTTAAGATAACCGCACATGTTTTACGAATTAAGTGTAAACAAAACTATAGTTGATGTTTCGAAAAGTAAGAGTTCTTTTGTTGTAACCTCAAGCGCACTTTGATATAATTTTACACATTACCCAAAACATATAGGCCTTGTGTCATCGTAAGTGATCCAATATCGCTTATTCTGTTCACAGTAATCAACGCCCACTGTGCGACCCTAATGACGCCTATGACACACACACTCAAGCATCCAATAGGAGGCCAGAGTTTGGTCGTATGTTTAGTGTTGTAGCCGCGAATACCATACATGCTCAAACACGATATGCCGCACATCACCGACACACGTTAAAAATATTTAACCTCTGAGAAAACTGTTTTTGTGACAATGAACATTATCGTTTGGTGCGTATTTGTAATTTTAACTTTTGTGACAACGGCTCAATCGTCGAGCTTACAGCCAGGCGGGTAAGACGTGATATTAAAACAATATAGTATTTTCAATTCGTTGTATATAATTATCGTAATATTATTAGTTCAGACTTAAATAGAGTGCATCATTGTTCACTGTTATGATAATTTAAATCCCTAGAACTAACGCTAGTCTCCACGTTAATAAGGGCAGTGATGTTTTGTGTATTTATATGTCCTGAATATACAGCACTGCAAAATGTTCATTACACGAAGCGACAGTCGCGCAAATATGTTAGCAGGGAGTGATTCGATTCAGCGATTAGGGTAAAACGATCTGAGAGAATGCTGACAGCCTGAGGAGTTGCCGGTGAGAATTAATGTAGAGAAGAACGCGAATAATCTATAGAATTTTCATGTCTTTGATTGCATGCTGCTTATGTTAGTATTTCTTGTCAGTTGTCATATATATTTCACATTAATATAACAACTCTATAACAGCGTATAACGTATGTTGAAAATGAGACAATGAGACATTTTTATATATTAGCCGAGTTTTTTCCACATACCTTTGAGATGTTACGCACTTTCGGTAGTTTGTGTTTGTTTTCTTTCTATGAACTGTATCTATATAAAGTACTAAATACAGTTTAATGCACAAGATTAATGACATGCACCACATTGGACTGGTTTATGTCACCATAGCTTGCCTCATTTGAGAATATGTAAATTAATTAATTATAAAATATTTTTAGACATAGCTCTTCATTTTGTTGGCATAAAATACACGTTTTCATTGAAGTTGCAAGTATTTGCAATTTCCTATTGGGTTTACAAGCAAACATGAAAGTCAAACAAAATATGTCGTGTAATTAATAAAATAGTGTAATTACTGATGCCGCATTTCGCTTTTGGTCGGACATTGGCCGGATAATGTTACAAAATGTGCAGTGTTTGAAGTCTCAGAATTCACTGTCAGATTTTTCGATTATTTTACAAAACGGACCCTATTGGCTGCCAAGATTGTAAAATCTCAAACTAATCCGTGTATTAACAATAACACAGTAGGCTTAAAATATTAGATTTGTACTTGGTTAAAACGTAGTATTTGATTTCTAGGCATTCTGATATATATTGTTAAATTTTTCTCATTCTTGCTCAATAAAATATCGTTCTTTTGACATATGTAGATATTTGACCCCTTAGCCTTTACTTTCCTTTACTAAATTTTCACACACCCCTTAACAAATGTGTCTCAGTCCTTTCTACCGAGAGAAGTTTTATTTAATTCAGTTGTTTTGTTTTGACTACTTTATATTGCATATAGTTGTCTTATATTAGCCTGTGTACTTACTAAATAGTCTCTTTTCTCAAAGCAATGTGGCCAATGGTCAAAACTCAAAACTTAACACTTACCTTAAGACTGAAGTGGACGCACGATATTTGCTAGAACATGCAGATACAGATGTTGGCATGTGCATTATCCTGCCATGGAAACAAGTTTTAATATCCCTGCAAATACAATTGATTGTTTTTCGATATCAGATAATAATGGATTAAATTTAATTTATTTGCACAGAATTTGTTCCTATTCCAAATATGTATGAATTAATC